TTAGTTAATATTAAATGTCAACATTATGAATAGATGGATTCACACATTTCCATCATTGCCTGCCCTATATGAAATTTTCGAATCCTCTTCTTGAAACACAATCCAGCAAGTTTCCAATTAAAATTTTTCCTCTTATAGAAAAACTCTTTTGCATCTTCAACTCTATGAGCTGCAGCATATCTATTAATCAAATACCATCAGTTTTTTCATTAACCAAATTTCCTCTCTTAGACATTTCGTCAAGCACTTGGTTGAGCTCATCAAACGTCTCATACGACCAAGAATATCGAGAATTTCATTGAAAGATTCAATTTTTGGTGAATACCTACATGGATTTTCACCTGCTAATATCCATTTGAAGAAGATAAAAGCTGGTTTCCAATCAGAACGGTGTCGTTTAAGCACGTTTAGAATAAAATTTTCAGATAATGTGAAATTGCAATTACTTAGAGACTGAAAAATGTCACTCACTGATTTATCTGCTTTATTCTTGAGAAGGGTCTGCATTTCCAACGCAGTTTTCTTCGTCGGATATTGTGTGCATTAGGAGTTGAAAGTGATTCGTCATTTTGGGTTGAAAACTGTAGAAACGCTGAATTCTTCGGTAGAGTTCTTTAGTTGACATTCCAATGACCTTTCCGGTGGAACGCCGGAAAAGTAGATTTTATTGGAATGAAAGCAAGAGCAAACAAGAGCAAGTCATATAAGAGAGAGTTTGATTTGTGAATTGTGAAGGTTGATATTATCTAGGTGACAATATTTATCTAGGTGGCAAAATATTTAACTAGGTGGCAAAAATATCTATCTAGGTGTCGTGCGCATGTGGACACGATCGTAGTGAGTGGACATAAAAGGTGTACGTGTTCGATGAATAAGCAAGTTCAGGGGGATAATTGAAACAAAATAAAGTTTAGGTGTACACTGAATAAAAAGCTTCAAGTACAGGGGGGTAATGAATACTTTTGCCTAAAAGTAATAAGCGATCAACTAATTTATTTAGAGAGAAATGAAAATTTAATTTAATAATCATGCGTTTTTGCAGAAATAGTTACCACTGATTGGCCGCCTGTTTGCTAGACAAATATTATATATAGCTTTCAAAATTTATTACCATTGCAACTCTTCATTCACGTTATTCTTTTATTATTATAATTATAATAACAATAAGTGAACATTTCTCTCACAATTAATTACCCTGCAACTCTTTATCCACCTTCTTTATCATAATTATCATAGCAATAAGTGAATTTAAATTAATTAGGAAGGAAATGATAAGTCAAAACGGAGAAAACAAGATATGATGATTAGCATTAGTATAACAATATAATAATATGATTATTATTTACTTATTTTATTTTACTGTTTTATTTAGTATAGGAGTATTTTTGTAATTCAATTTTTGACTTAAATTCTTCCTATTTATAATAATACTAGTTCTCGAACACGTACGTTGCACGTGTATCCCATGTTATTTAATACCAAACATTTCAAATGATATAATTATTTTAGAATAATTGATGCATTATACAATATTTAAAGGGTAAAAATAATGTTTCTGGTAAAACATTCAACTAAGGTTGCAACTTGCAAAGATCAATAGATTCTGAAGAATTTCTGATTGTATTGATAAAAACTTTTTCTTTTAATCATGTGGGATACACTATATTTATTGGTAAAAAAAGATTACTACTTCAATTATATGATTTGTCAAGATTGTTAAATATCTAACATTATATTTTCATACAAAATGAAAAAAGTTAATTAAACAAAGCAATATATCAATAAGAAAAAAAAATGACCAATTAATAAAAGATTACATAAAAACTATAAGATGTGAAAATATAAAGTGTAATGGACTAATATTTTCTACTCAATTTATAAAGAGAGAAATTGTGTATATGAAAGGTTGTGAATGAATCTATTTAATTGTAGAAGCTAAAAAGTTTAGCAATTAAAGTCATTAAGAAGTGAAAAATAATAAAATATGACATCTAACCATGTATTCTCTTCAATTAAATATTGATATTGTATGAATCTCTCCATATTCTCTTACCTCTCTCTTCATATGCTCTAATGTTTAAGTTTTTTAATCTAAAACGGTAATTGTTTTAAGTGCTCAAAATTCAGAAATTAAGAAGAAAAATTGTTAATGCAACTCAATGATAATGGCAAACGGAATACTCATAAATGCACTTCAAATTATTACGGTAACATTTTAGTGGTATGCAAAAAGTTTTTTCTGTTATGGAACTTAAATTACTATTTAATAATAATAATAATAATAATAACAACAACAACAACAACAACAACAACAACAATAATAATAATAAGGGAAAATGCACAAGTAACCCCTCAACCTATGACCGAAATCCCAGAGACACACTTATACTATACTAAGGTCCTATTACCCCCCTGAACTTATTTTATAAGTAATTTATAACCCCTTTTTAACCTAGTGGCACTAGTTTAAAAAAATTAAGTCAACCATCGTTGGACCCACAAGATAGTGCCACGTAGGTCGAAAAGGGGTAAAAAAATTATTAATAAAATAAGTTCAGGGGGTAATAGGACCTTAATATAGTATAAGTGTGTCTCTGAGATTTCGCGCATAGGTTGAGGGGGTACTTAGGCATTATCCCTAATAATAATAATAATAATTATAATAATAATAATATAATGGTATTATTGTAGTAACTCAACTATATAAGGTTATTTGGTATTTCAACTTTCAACTTTTTTGTTCCCACTTATAATAATATATGATATGATGATAGTATGTATCCAACAGACCTCACCATGCAGCATCTATTGTTTCTCCTTTCTCTTTGCTTCCTTGTTCTTGTTCTTATCCTAATCTATCCTTCGCTACATAATTCTCGAAATTTGGATTCAAGTTTACATAAATCCATTAATCAACTCGCAGTTCAGACCTTCACTTCCTGGAGATGTATCACTTCCAATACAAATGTCTTACTCGAAATCCATGCTCCGTGCACAACATCACGCACTTCCTGAAAATGTAGTATCACTTCCAATACGAATGGTCCACCCACAATCAATGTTGCATACACAACGTACTACACTTCGATGAGATGTATCATCAATTTTGATACAAATGTGGCACTCGATGCAGCAAATACTATATCCAGTTTTATCATAGTTTAGATTAAGTATTGGTGTTGACTTCCTTTCTATGGCGTTCAATTGTTTTAGGATTAGTACCGATGTTCCCTTGATGTCTTCCGCTGTTTCAGTGAGTTTTCTACGGCTAATGGTCAATCTCTCAAGCTTACACAAGGTGAAACTAGTAAGACCGAAGAGAAAAAGGCAGATGTCGGGCTAGATGACATTCATAAGGACGAACATGCCAAAAATACAGAGTCTTCAACATCTGAAAGACAGGCTTTGGATGAAAATCAAAGAAACTTTTCTTTTACTAGTTTTCTTTTGTACCACAGGGAGAAAAGCATGGTACCCGATCTTAAAATAAATTATCTATGTCTGAAATAAGTCTCTAACTGAGTAAAGATGTTGGGACATGTCCCCAGCTAACTCTAGTAAAAATTGAAACTAAAATGAAAGACTAAAATAAAAAACAAGTCTATTGTCCTCGAAGTTTGAGGACTCACCACTGAACTGTTGAATATTGAATCGAGAATCGGTCTACTCGTGATCTGAATGCTGAGAACTTAAAACTATAACATGAGATGATGTAGCCCAGAATATCTGTTAGTACTTGAAAGGTATTGAGCAGGCAGAATAGGATAAAGTTGAACAAACATATAATTAAACAAAGCACACTAAGCATTAATCTAAACATGATATTGAATATAAACTAAATCGAATGTAATGATCAAGTACATAACATGCTAAAACTGAATACTGAAAATGTAACTAGTAATCTGGTCAATACACTAGAATCTGACTGTGGGGCAACTAATAACCGACATAAAATCACGTGAGCTAAACATGGAGTCCAATGTATACTCCCCATATAGAGGATCTAATATATCTTGTCAGGGGTATAAAGACATGAATTTTGCATGATCACTAAATATGATGCCCATGGAGGGGACTTATAAACCAACGGGGCACATAGTTATGGGACTATGAGGGTGACTGACGCTAGTCCAACTTGGTGTAAAGCCTACTCCCAATTAGAAATGTATACAATACAACATAACGGACATACACTGGCTAACTCAATATTCTTACATGCTAACTGAAAATGCAACATTAAGTATTGATAATGAAACATTTGAAACTGAGGCATGTATGTTTATCTGTCCTATCTAGTGTAATTCATTAAATAAACAAATCTATAAAATTAGGGTTCTAAATTTAATGCAAGGAACTAAGCAACATTGTTACGAAAACATGATAATATGATTTGAAGTACTCTAGCAGCTAAATCACAACAATTATATGAAGTTCTAGAAATCTTATGAGTAACAACATTAAAATCTGAGTTAGGAAGATTGATGTTTATAGGAACCGATCTAAGAGGTGATAAAAATAAAAAGGAGGAAGGATCAAAGCACATATGTTCTGATTCATAATAAGGATGGTTCCTTTAACCTGATCATACTTGTCATGAAGACCCATCGGAAACTGAATAAGTTTCTCATCTTCTAGAATTTTTTTCATTTTCTGTTTTCCTTCACACACACACACACACACAAGAACAATTTTATATTAGAGTTAAAAGAATCTAGATCATCCCAGAGCCTTTTGAAGGTGAACTAGTTTGGCATCAATGGACTGCCCAAATCGATGCATCAAGCTAATCCAAAGTTCCCTAGCAGATCTAGAATAGACACTATCAACAATTTGTTTGAAGAGGGAATTGAGCAACCATGAAGTGACTATATCATTGCATCTACTCCATGGTTGCAAATTTAGTGACCCAACAACAGGTGCACATTGAGTACCTCTGATGAAACGTAACTTGTTCTTTGCTGAAAGAGCAATGAGAACAAATATCTTTCACACTTGGTATTATTTCTCATCTAAGTGTTATTGTTAAGGTTCATACCGAGCATATGATTGAGTGAGAAAATAAGGGTGATTGGAATCAATCTCCGGCATAATAGTACAATTACCACCCATAGTAGTATTGCCATTATCAGGTTTTGTTCCAGAATTCTCGACAGAGTTAGTCATTATTATTGAAGAGGGTGATAGATTGAAGAATAATAGAAAAAGACTTTATGATTAAGAGTGCTCTGATACCATCAAAGAAACAAAAATTAGAAATTCTCTACGTATTGATTGAATATGGAGAATACAATTTGTTCCTATGTTTATACATAACTAAAGAAAAGAAAAGAATTTTCTATTGTAACTATCATTCCAGCTGTACAATCTTAATTGCCTTTTCTATAACAAACTTTATTCCCTCTCTAAGTATATTCATTTCAGCTATATGTAAAATCTTTAATTGTTGGGCCTTTTATTCGAATTGGGCTTCTGGCTGGCCCACTGCAGGAGTAGCTCTTTAGCGCATACAACATAACCCTTATCATATTTAGACCAGATAAAAGGGTTAGTCTTCTTCGATGAAACCAAGGCAAAATATGAAACCTTGTTTGTTTATGTTTTCTTCTTTCTTTTGATGGTGTATCGTTTGCATTAAATATTTCATTCAGTGATATACCATTTGTAATTCCAACACAACCACCAGCTTTCTTCATTCTCAATGTAAAGATTTTTTTTTGGCAAAATCACTTTGGATCATCTTTTTCATTGGTGAAAATCATGAACTTTTTTATTGTTGCAAATCTGCTAATAGGGAGGATCTATTCTACTCCCTTAATTTTATAGATCTTCTTCTCCTTCTTTATTTTTTGCCTTTTCCTCTCTCTTTACTAAAAATGTTCTTGTTGGGAAGTCCACTCTAAACCAGATCCATACCAGATCTGGCCAGTAAAGACTATATACCAACTAATATCAACGACATCAAGCAAGCTCCGATGACTTCAATGACATCCAGTCATTTTCGGTGACTTTCAGCAAGCTTCGTCAATTCCAAAAAGTATTAATTTCATCCGTGGAAACCTAGCAATGCTATCAGTTAATGTAACATGTCATAACTTAAGTCATGAGGCAGATCTAGACAACCAGATTCATTCTTTCTTCTCCAAGGAAGTTCCGCCGATCTCTTCTTCAAGTTCCAGGTTCTATCATCCCAAATTAATTTCCTAATTTACTTCAGTTTGACTTTAGTTTTTTATTTTTAGATTTGTTTCCGGATCTATATGCAGAGTTGGATTTCTATTTTAGATCTAGTTTTTTATTTACCTTTCTTGTCTAATATTGATCTTTTGTAATTAGTATTTTATTGCATATCTCTCTCTAACTCACTTTACTCCCGGTCTAACTCTACTCCTTTTTTTTTATCTATGGTGACATTATTCAACAGTGCTTGTGGTTTCTCTTGGTTAGTATATTGGGTGTACACATGTTATCAATTTAGTTGCTTTTATTCATCTATTCATTGATAAACTCTCCTCTTAATTCAGTGGTTTTTGTAAATTTCTATATCACTTATGTCTTATTTAGTTTATGTCATGACATAGACCATCGTGAGTATAACAAACTACCAGCCCAAAAATTACCTAGCATACCATTTTCTAAACCAAGTCAAAGAATAAATATCAAGAAAGAATCTTAAAGACAACCAATGAATTGAGTCCCCATAAACTCAATCAATACTTAAAACATCAGCAAAAATAAAACTACAAGAAATTGAAGGTTGTGGAACCAAAACTCTAAATAAGTCTAGAATGGGGATGGAACCCCAAAATCTTAAAACATGACTAATAGTCTAATGTGTTTGCCCAAAATGTGGACAGTAAAATGTAGAAGAGCTCATGACAACTTAAAAGAGTAGTTCACCCTTTAATTTGAGGCAGTCCTTATGTAAGGTCTGATATCAACCACAGGAAGATGACCAATACTCAATAATAATAGAACTAGTGCATCATCAGTACACTGTGATTGTGTATTGATGGTAATAAACAGCTAAAACATAGTAAACAAAAGAAAACACATATATCACAATCATGAATTCATAGACTCCGAGTCACAATAACATTAATTAACCAATACCTCGAACATATCCCACGTGATTACAATTACAAGGACTTGCTGCTTTCATGGAACCACAAATACACATACTTTGTCCTCTCAAGGAATCTACAAACAAACTATTAGTGTAGGTAAACGAGCTAATCAAAGTTAGTATTCATACTTAGTGTGGTACCCAAGCCCATTAGTATTAATCTACCGGCTTGGTACATAAGACAACCATCAATCATGCACAATTACTATCATAATGAACAATAACACTTGAAATCATAATTGATATAAACAAGTTCACTGCATGAGATTATCAAATGTCGTTCCACATTCTTTTGTATGTTTTCCCAACATGAATTATACAGGTGATATTATAATGTTGTCGATGTGCATACATATCAAAAATCATACAACCATCACCTACCTCGAATCAAGCCCCTTAAAGAGTTAAGGAACCCGAGCTTTCCCCTTTTGAAGTACCTTGCTTGTTCTTGGTCTAAAATAACAAATAAATCCAATCAACTAATCAAGAATGACCTGATTATATCCCGATCATTAAAAAATCCTAGACCTAGGCCAATTCATGATCATTCCACCCCAATAAGAGCTTTTCCACAATTAACTCAAGTCAAAACCCTTTCTCAAGAGTAATATCCTATATTCTAAGGTTTAAATATCAATTTATTAGATAGAAGAGTAATGAACTTACATTTAATGATGAATTTTGTGGAAAATTGAATGAACTGCCCTGATTCGTCCATCTCAGCCTTTAGAACAATTATGCATAAAGTAGGATTTTTAGGATTTTTATTGTATAAAATCCTGACCTACCCCGTTATAGCGACCCTATCATTGTCGTTAACCTGTTATAGTGCTTGCAAACTCTCATTGTAGCGGTCTGAAGCCCGCTAACTTCAGAGGCTTGGAAAACCCTGAAAGTCCAATTTTTCACAAGATAGATACTTCCTTTGACATCCCGAACTATCCCCTTCACCCCAAATTTTATTCCCATAAGATTGGGTACCTTAATGTCTTGGATACTAGAAAATATATATTAAAAAAAGACTAGACATATTACCCCTCACATTCCCGGATGACCCTAGACCTTATAAGTCTCAAATTCCACCTGAGATTGGCATAGCCTGACATTATTTAAGCAACTATCCAATACGTTTTTTTGGCTTGATTTCTTTCACTATTTGCCTACTCTTAACAATTGAGACATGTTGTTACATTCATATTTTCCTTGTAGCTTTGCGAGTGATGGTAGACTAGGGTCATGTCAATGGTTGAGGTCAGGTTGAGAAGAAGTAGCAGTAAGGGGATGCGAGTTCTCCTAAGCGGAAGTATGGTCATGTAACATCATATCGTTGATAAGAAGTCTATTGAGCTAGTAAATATTTCCAAGAAGAAGAAGAAAAATATCACTTACATCTAGGAGATAAGATCCGTAGGTAACTAAGCATGAGATGTGTAAGGTTTTAAGTTGTACCCAAAAGGCTCAAGAGAAAGAAATGGTGTAGGTATTTTCGTAGATGGAGACCTTAAGATGAGAGTGGTGGAGGTTAGGAGGATCAATGACAGGATGATGATGATTAAGTTACTCGTTGGTGGGATTAATTTGAATGGTATTAGCTTAATGTACCACAAGTGGGCCTAGATAAGGAGTCTAATATTTGTCTTAGTGATGGATGAGTTGACGCGGTCTATTCAGAAGGAAGTTCCATGGTGTAAGTTATTTGCAGACGACATAGAACTTATTGATAGACACGAGACATAAATAATGCAAGTTGGAGGTAAGTCCAAACTCTAAAGGGTTCAGGTTGAACAAGACCAAAATGGAATATTTGGAGTGCAAATGAAATGTTGCATTAGATTAAGCAGATGTAGAAGTAAGGCTTGGCACACAAATTATTCCCAACAAAAAAGGTTTAAATATCTTGGGTCCATAACCTAGAGTAGCGGGGACACTATTGATGATATCACACATTGCATTGGGGTGGCATAGATGAAATGGAGGTTTGTCGCTATAGACTTATGTCATAATAAGGTCTACAAAGTGGTAATTAGATTGTCCTTGTTGTATGGAATGGAGTGTTGGCCTTTTAAGAAGTCACATGTTCAAAATATGTATGCTGTGGAGATGAGAATGTTGATGGATGTGTCGCCAAAATAAGAGTGATAAGATTAGAAATGAGGTTATCTGGGAGAAGGTGAGAGTGGCTTTTGTGGCAGATAAGATGATGGAAAGGAGACTCATATGGTATGAGCATCTGCAGAGGAGGTGCGCTGAAATCTCACTAAAGATTTGTTGTGAGGCTAGTTGTAGGAGGTATGTATAGGGGTAGAGGTAGGCCAAAAAAGTATTGGAAAAAGGTAATAGACAGGTCCTGCCGCAGCTTCCAACAAGATAGTAATTGTAAAAAATAACCTATAGAAGAGCACATGCATAACATATTTCAAAATAGATGATTCTCTAAACTTCCACGAGCCATAGAATCGTGAATGATTAGCCTCTCATCACCTTTTGTTGCAATATCCTACTTACATAACTAAATTCTAATGGTGGAGATTGGGAAGAGAGTTTACTTTTTCATGTCACATGAATGCATAATATATCACATTATTTAATATACGAAGTCCATAAAATTAAGACAATAACTAGAAAAAGTAGAATTCAAGTCACTTTCATTGATCCAACCCTAATCGTGAGAAGAATCAAACTTGTTACACTCCAAGAATACCTTCAAATCTGAAGTTCATTGTTACCAACCTCAACTCATTGACAACAAAGTTTTGAACCTGCAAAGATGTTATTTCCAGTTCTATGCCTCTAAAAAAAGAATTTATGTTATAAGATTAAATGGAAAAAATAAGGTGATAACTAGATAAAACATTAAATGAGTGATACAAGATGCTCGGTCACTTAGTGATATGCATAAAAAATTGAGAATTTTGTAGGCACCCTGGAAAAAGTATTGTTTGATTTCTTCATCTTTTATTGGTTATTGTTTCATAAGATAGACATTTGCTTCTTTATGAAATTATGCCCAATATGAGCTTTATTGTTTTCGATATTTCCGTTCAATGTATCAAAATCTATTAGTATTTTTACTATCCTCTTATCTGTAGATTCCTTGCTATAAATGATGTAATTTCCTTTTTCTGAGATATGTTGAGAAAGAAAATACAAAGTAGCATAATTTGTCTGTATTTTTTCTTTTGGATTACACTTGTCAGAAAAGCGGATTACACCATTAATAGAAAGGAATCTATAGATAACAGGAGCTAAAAATACTAGATTATGATACATTGAATGTGAAATTTTGAAAACAATGAAGTTCATATTGGCAATTAAGAAGCAAATGGGGATGCAAAAACTGCTTTTTCTATGGGTGGTTGCAGAATTCTGAAGTTTTTATGCACATCGCCAAGTGGTTGAGCATATTCTATCGCTCATGTAACGTTCTATCTAGTTATCACCTTCCATTTAATCTTATAACATATAAGTTCATAGCCTTCACGGTATCTTTATTGATAATACCTACCAATAAAAGGCATGTCTTATTGATTCATATGGTATCTAAATATATGATTAGTTCCTAAGTTTACTATATTGAAAATTTATAACATTCAAAATGAATAGACCCAATGTCACATTCAGTAAAGATTTATGATATGTGTATAGGATGTACTCAATGTGCTCGAGTCTGCCCCACCGATGTATTAGAAGTAATACATTGGGGTAGTTGTAAAGCTAAAGTAACTTTCTTCTCAATCTCCACCATATGGATTTGGTAATTTAGTAGGCTATTGCAAGGAGGCTATGTATGACTCTTGGAAGTTTGGAGAACCACCTATTATAGGTATTTTATGCATGTCTTCTTCTATATGCTTTGCTTGACAATTACCCAGTGAAACCTTGACTAGTATATCTTGATTGAAATGTTCTTTTTATGTAATTGATTAGTGAATGGAAATAGTTGTACTTTCATTTGAGTATTTCTATATGCAAAAGTTGTGTTTAATATGATATAATTGAGATAATTCTTAAAGTTAGAAGCCATAATTCTCTTTATTTGTAAGTTGAAGCCAAACAAACTATAGGTTTTATTGATTTAACATACCACAAAATAACAAAATCAAACTTTAAAAATTAAAATCCCACCAAATTTTCATGAACCAAAATCCAAGATCACGATGACACACACCCTGAGAACCCCAAAACGGTTTGCAAGCTAAAAGAATAACACATAGGAGACTTCCAAAGGAAAGTCAGGCCACAACCAATAAGAAAACAACCAAAAAGTTCCATAAAAACATGGTTTCATACCAACCAACTTATCTTCTCAAGTGTCAACACATCATAATTAGTTGGATGCAGTGATACAATCCACAATCCACATATCAACCAAATATTAAATAACAATAATTGAAAGCAAGTAAAGATAGATTTCGAATAAAGAAAGGAGCAGCCCCGTGTACTAAAGCTACCTCTGCATGGTGGGGCTAATCCACGACAGACTATTTTACGCAGCATTACCCTGCATTTCTGCAAAGGTTGTTTCCACGACTTGAAACCATGACCTTCGGCATGTTTGGACCAATAGTCTTCTTCACTGTTGTTGTGAAATCATGTTTATGTCAAAACAACGTTCACTATCATAAAAAGAAGAACATAGAAAACAGACACATACGAAACACAACATGTCATTTAGTATAAAGCTGTAAAGTGATGTGCTGTTTCTTGAACTTAAGTTATTGTGCCATAGATGTTCGCTCAAATTTTTATTGACTTTGTGCAGCTAGAAATATTTCACTGGGGAACAAGCAGAGTGGTGGTGGACTGGAAATTTACAAAAGATAAGTTAAAAGCATTAAAAGGTACCCATAAGTAATCTCTAGTAGTCGCAGTGTATACTGAACACGTTAAGGAAGGCTGACCAGTTCTACAAAGAAAACTGACATTCAGCGGACTTCGATTTGGCATGCCAAATGGTTACCTTGTCTCATTCTTGTCAACCTAGAGCAGTGTACTTTCACTTCTGAATATGTAAAACACTTTATGATAATTTTTATGCTAAGATGTTATTTAGCATTTTACCTCCTCAGATGAATAGCAAGGATGGCAGATTGCAGTTGATGACAATGATGTGAGAGTTGTATCTGCGCTCTCTTGCTGTTATTACCCTGCAGTTGTGTTTGTAGGCAATAGCAGCCTACATCATGGATAGCTGAAGTATGTGTAAGTTGATCCGCGTACAATCATCTTAATCAGAAAAAAAGAGAGACATATTTTGGTGTTTTGCGTGATACCTTTTGGAGATTGATCTTATATCTTCATGATGAATGAATGAATGAAAACAAGTACAAATAATTGATAGTCTGCTTGCCAGTGCACACTCTTTGTCCGAAAGCAAAAGAAGTAATTCTTATACTGAAGATCAAAATTTTGTTGAGGTAACTGAAGGCAGGGTTATCTAGGAACTAGCGTACTACACATTGGCTAAGAAAAATCCGGCTACTATCATATAATTCAATTGAGCTGCATCCAGCTTCCTTCTTCCCACTGAGAGAAGATCCCACCTCTTTTTCTAATTTACCTTCCTTCACCTCTAGCATGTCTCTGTCCTCGGGCAATATGCCAGCGATGGCATAAGTACAGTTCAAAAGTAGTGAATCAGCAGGGTGTTCACCAAATCTTTGTTCCAGTTCTTTTTTCACTTGTTCTCCCAACTCAACACTACCATGGACTCTGCATGCTGCTAGCAACGCACGCCACGCAGTAGCATCCCCCTCAATGGGCAAATCTTTTATTAGTTCTCGTGCTGTTTCAAGCAATCCAGCACGACCTAAGATATCAATCAAACATCCATAATGCTCAATTTTAGGAGTCAAGCCATATTCTAGGACCATTTTCCTAAAACAACTGATGCCCTCTGCCACTAGTCCCCCATGACTACAAGCACTAAATACTGCCAAAAAAGTTACTTCATTAGGCCTAAAACCTTCATCCTCCATTCTGTGGAAGAGTGCAATAGCATCCTTTGCCTCCCCATGCACCCCATAACCCATTATCATTGCTGTCCAACACTTCACATCTTTAGTCTCCATACTGTCAAAAACATTAACTGCCTTCACAAGCAACCCACACTTAGCATACATATCGATCAATGCCGTGCCATGAACTGGATCCAAAGCTAACTGCTGGTCTTCCACAAAGTTCTGAATATATTCACCCATATTAAGAGCTCCGGAGGAAGCACAAAAAGAAAGCAAACTTGCCAAAGTTGACGAATTCGGCTTCAATCTTTGAACCTTCATTTCCCTCAGTAGAGACAATGCCTCTTGTAGCAATCCATTTTTAGCATATCCATCTATCAAACAGTTCCACAAGACAACATCTTTCTGAGAAGCTTCATCAAATAGACTACGGCCTGAACTAACACAACCAATCTTCCCATACATAGATATAAAGGCAGTTAGCACCTTCAAACTATCGCAAAATCCAATCTTTATGCAATAACCATGCAGGGATTCCCCTACCAAAGCAATCCTTAACTCACCAATCGCAGACAAAACACACAACATCGTCGTGACACTAGCATAAATACCATCCCTACGCAACTCTACAAACATATCCAAAACCGCAGAATAATTACTTACACAAAGATAACCACCCATCAAGGTGTTCCAAGAAACCAAATCCCTCTTTGAAATTTCATCAAACAGTTTGTGTGCACAACGGATTCCCCCACAAACACAATAAAAATTCAAAAGGGTATTCTTCAAATCAAGAAACAAATCAAACCCAGATTTCAAAACAACTGAATGAACAGCTACACCAGTCCATTTCTCCATCAAACGTATACAAGATCGAAGCACAGAAACAAAAGCAAACTGATCAAGAACAACACATTGTTCCCTCATATAGTTGAAAAACACAAGACCCTTTTGTGGGTCATCACTGATTGAATAACTACGAAGCATGGTATTATACATATAAAGATTTGGGCTTTTTACATACTTGAAAATTGAAGATATATAATCTGTAAATTGGATTGAACATGCGAGGAGTTTGCTTAGAGTGAAAGGGATTTGGTCTTGACCAGTTTTGATCATTAAGGCATGAAATTGAGTGATTTCTGAGATATTTTTGCATGATTGTAACTGAGAAATGAGATTTTGATCTGAAGAAAATGTTGAACAATGCCTTGAAAATTGTTTGAAGTTTTGTCTTAGATGATGTGAACAGTAGGATTTAACGGCTATGTTCATGAGAACAAGATAGATTTAGCGGCAAAGCGTACATTCAACAAGGATTTGTTGCTTTTGGAACAAAATTTGGAAAACATCCCAAGCCAAAGCATACAACTATTACTCCGTCTGTTTCGGTTAATGTGATATTTTTTTTATTTTGTAAGACTCAAATAATTTAAATTTGATGAAAATTTATTGATAAAATATTCAATTTTTTTGAAATAAAATTTATATACTTATAAGTTATATAGTAATATATGTCACAATAATTCATACTCTTTTCATTCAAAAATGAATTACCTAATTTGACTTGGAAATAGAGTTTAAGAAAAAAAAAATTATTCTTGTAATTGTAAATAAAAATTATGTCAAATGTACCTAAATGTCCTTTAATCATGTGATTTTAAATATGTTACGTATAAATTTAAAGTAAATTATTATAAAAAAAAAAAGAAAGGGACCGTTCCCTTTTAAACATACTAAAAAGCAAATTGAAACATTCTTTTTGAAACAGAGGGAATAATTCTAAATATTTAAAACGAAAATTGAAAAATTTAAGGTCATAGATAAACTTGTTTTGAGTTTTGAAATTTAAAAAATATGACATAGAATGATTTAAAAATAATTTATTTTTTAAAAAATCCATCTAAAATATCTTTAAACTATGAAAAATTGAATAAAAATATACTCAATTAACAGTTTGGTTTTAATATACTAGGATGTTATTTATGTATTTACCTTTACCAATTTGATAAACATATATTTGTTTACCGACACAAAAATACAATTACATTCCTCTACAATCCTTGCCCACAAATATAAATAGAAAAACGCTCGTTATTAATTTTTTAGAAAAAGCTTATTGATATCATCAGTTAAAAATTTGATTTATTTATATTATTATCGTTTAAGAAAAGATTCATTAATACCATTATTTTCTAACGGTGATTTTGCAAAACCATTTTTGACACGTGGTCAATTATAATTTGGCCATGTCATCAATTCTTTCAATAAAAATATCAAAAAAATATATTAATTCAATTTTTATTCAGATATTATAATTCCACCATGTCATCAATTCTTTTATTAAAAAAAAATTAATTCAATTTTTGTTCATAGTTTGTTTTTTTATTTAAAAAATTGATGACGTGGACAATTATAATTCGGCCACGTCATCAATTTTTTAATTTAAAAATCAAGAAAAAAATAATTCAATTTTTGTTTAGAATTATGATTTTTTTTATTAAAAAATTGATGATATGACTAAATTATAATTGATCACGTGTATGGTTTTGCAAAATCATTGTTAAAAAATAATGACATGAATGAGTCTATTCTTGAATGATAATGGAATATATGAGTCAAACTTTTAACGGATGATATAAATGAGCCTTTTCTAAAAGTTTAATAATATATTTAAGTCTTTTCTCTATATAAATAGTACATCTTAAGAAATATATTGTTTAAGATATGGAATAGATATATTGAAATATATTCTTGATTCATGAATACTTCTTGATACCAATCCATTCGAAATGTATTGAAAATTTGTTATTAGTTCTATGGCTTGGGCTTCTTTTTTTCATAGTATGGAATAGAGGAAGTATACATCTTGTTAACTTTTTTTTTCTTTTGCATTTCAATTTCTAATTTGAGAGAACATTTTCCGAAATGGCATGAGTGATAAATTTTGGAAAATACATATATTATACGAAGATTACATATATTTCTTAAATTTGGAATAAATTTTAAATAATATTTTGTTCCGCCTAATCAATATTAACGCCTCATTTGTTTCCATTAAGATTAAGAGGTCTCAATTTGAATACACATCTGAATATTAAAATTTGCATTAAGATTTGAGTTTGATTTGAATACACATGTGAATATTATGATGTTATCTCTAAATCTGAACACTTAATAATTAATGTTGTTTGTTTTAAATATCTGATTCAGCGTGAAATTGAACATTATATTAATAAAATATTATAAAATTTTCATTTCAAAAAAATATATCACTTTTAATAAAAAAAAATGTTTTAAAAGTTTTAATAATCATGATTTGGAGTACTATTTTTTCATTTTGCAGCCAGTGTTCTTGACACACGTCAATATAAAAAAAATACTTGAAATGATTTATGAAAATTTACTAGTTCAAAAGGGAAAAAAAATGGTATTTGATGGAGAAAAGAGAGAAAAAAAGTTTTTAGTTATGAGATAAAAAGACACGCCCAAAGCATAGAAGCGATGATTTATTATTTGATAACTTATCAAATGAATTTGAATGTTGAGTCTCCTACAGATCTGATTCGTTCAAACCTCTTCAGGCCCATTAACAGGTTTTTAAAAAAATAAAACAAATGAACTTAATGAGCCGAATCTAAATGATTCAGATTCAAACTTAAAAATCAATAATGGACCGAATTTGAATAATTAAAATACATACCTCCATTAAGTGCAAACAAATGAGGTCTAACAGAGTTATTGTTTACTACTAAAATTCTGTTTTTTCACAACAGATCTTTTCTTCTAGAAAAAAAATGGACTTAAATTTTTTTTTAAAAGTTTGAATTTGAAAAAGTATAGTTAAGCACAATCAAATTAAAAAGAATTTGTACCATTCCTAATATATAAGAACTATATATATATATCGAATCAAGTCTCTACTCTTCGGATCGGTCCATCCTTAATAGAGAAATTCTTAAGTATATGTTTTCATTGGAAAAAAAGATCAACTCAAATCGTTGAGAAAGATGAACTACTATGAAGTATAAATATTATATAAATAACGTATACGGAAAAATATACATCTCTAATACATAGTTATACAACATTTATAAACAATTTTATT